TGTGTGTGTGTGTGTGTGTGTGCGCATTTGATTGTGCGTAGTTGTATATGAATGAGTTGTGGCTGGATTCCCAGAGGTCCCCTAAATGCTGAGGCATAAGTGTCCTGTATCAAGTGTCGGAGTAAAGCGGAGGAAGAACAACTTCCTGGCTTTGAGCAGTGTGTGTCGAGTAATGGCGTCACGCGTGTCACTTCCTGTTCGCCTTTCTCTGTTTCGTTGTCTCTGGCTCTCCCTTGCTTTTTATCACTTTTTTTGTTCACAGTTTGGCTCATAATGCTTTTTTTGGGGAGATTTTGTGCAGTGCTGCATTTAGGCTGATTGTAGAAAAAAAAGTCTGTCTGGAGTCATTTCTCATTGTCTTTTTATTAGCGTGGCAAGTGTGTGCGAAATGAAACAGTGTTGCATTTGAGTTCAAATTAGTTCATGTTTCCACTTTAACTTTTCTTTTTTGTTTTTATTGAGAAATTGTGACATTAATTACTGACAGGAAGCAATAGACTGCATGCCAATGAGGTACACTCATAATTTAATGAGCACTGGATGTACTCACACTGTCATTGTTAGAATAATGAAATACAAGATGAAAAACGAATTATTCTTGAAATTATGAATCGAAGAAAAGCAGGGCAATCTTATCACAAGTTCGGACACGACCCGTTCTCTAACGATAGTGTAATGCTTATCTGTTTTCTAAAGGTTCCTCTGGGGTTTTGCTTTGGTTTCTTTGAAGAGCTTTCACTGCTTCACTGATCACCAATAAGTCCTGTTCCCGCTGCATAGTGCAGCTCAGTCATAAAATCCAAACAAAACCTGCAGCCGCTTGGTGAATCAGATACAATTGTGTCACAGTATTTAGCTGCATGGAAAAAACTACTGACCAAGTGCATAATTTATGTCACCCCCGATTTATGTATATTGACATTCGCGCTGTTCCTGTTATGGCTACATCTTTAGCAGCTTGGAGGAAATCAAGATGTATAGTTATTAGAGTTGTGTTATAGTTTGATGAGTCGATCCCTTTTCATTGTGAACTGTCTCATAGAGCAAAAATAGCATGAAAATGATCTTCATGGTCTCATAAACATATAAGCCAAAAGATACAACTGAGCTAACGGCACACAATCCAAGCTCATACATGCTGACATACGCATGTTTTCTTGCTCTGAATCCATGTTTACACCCCTGACAGTGAGGTTTTTTTTTTAACAGCTCAGTCACCTGCTTCCTAGTGTTCATGCGCAGGCCCCTGATATCTCATCCTCAATAGCAGACTGCGTCCTCTGGGAAGGTCTGGGCCCATGGTCCTGTCTGACCCAACTTAATCTCATTGATTGAGCAGGTTGGCGTTAGTCAGTGTTTGCTTTAACAAATACCGACTTATCAGAGTATAAATATATATATATCTATGTATTGTATAAAGACAATATTTGACATTATAATTACAGTTTCCATTTGTTAAACAACAGGCCAGTCAACACCTTTTGCCTCATGCATGTAGCCTGGTGCTACCGTACGTCTGTTTTTGAGCACATGTGGCGTATCTGCGTGTGCGTGAGTCATGCTTCACGGAGTGTTTTGTTGCTCGGGACTTGTTGCCATCCATAAGGCTTACGTCACCTGACATGGCTTTGTCTGCTACTTCCACAGCACCGAGTGGCTGGCCAGCGTCGCTCCTGCATGTGTGTTTTTAATCTGTCCTCTGTTTTTTTTTTTTTGCCTTTCATCATTTAATAGCTCCCACATTTAGACAAGGGGCGTTTTAAAGTTCACAGCGCTGATCTAATCACTTTATTTCTTATAAGACATGAAAATTCACCCCATAATGAAAAGCCATCGTTTCTATCTGGTTTCTGGAGCTAGGTCACGGTAAAGATCTTTATGTTGCATACATGCATTTTTCAGGTGAGCACCTATGCGTTTTCTTATTTGATGCCTCTGCCTGTGAGAGCAGCTGAGGTGAAGGGGCAGAGCTTATCTCTGTGCTCAGGATGTGGTTTTGCATAGCACTTCTCAGAAGATGACTATCAGGGAGTTCACAGCGGTGCTGGTGAAGGGCTCCCTCCAGTGGCAGCAACAAATCATTACAATTCTGATTGCGCTTCATCTACTGTATAAAACTATAAAGGAATGCGTACTGTAAACTTAACTGTCATGTGTTTGTCTGCTTCCAGGATATCAATGTGTGCATTCTAGAGAATTACCCAGAGTGCTCCAACCCCAGAGTTTTCTACATCATTCCCTACTTCTGTGGACAGCATCCTCAATGCAGGTATCTACAGACTCAAGTTTCATGACAAAGCATTTGAATGTTCTAGACTTTAGTAAACGTATTATGTTCATCTGCTCTGTTGCTATTGTTGTTTTTCAGTCTCTTACTTCTTCTTTCTCCACCAGGGAGCCTGGAGTATGGGCTCTGGAGAGGGCCAAACAGAATGTGCTGGAGAACTACCTCCTTGTGGGTATCCTGGAGGAGCTGGAGGATGTTCTGCTTCTGTTGGAGAGGCTCTTACCTCATTACTTTACTGGAGTACTCAACATCTACAAGAGCCCTGGTAGGTGCACATTACATTTTTTTAGGTATCACATTTGTAATTGATGTTACCATTAAAAAAAATGCTGAATATTGCAGTCTGATTCTTTGTGTTCTTCTTGGTCTTTGTTTTATTCATCTTCTCTCTGAAGACTACAAGAAGATGGGGAACATGACAGGCACTGTACGTAAACACACACCCACTCTGGAGGCCCTGCAGGTGCTGTACTACCGCATGCTCTACGAGTATGAGTTCTACAACTTCATCCGAGACCAGTTCCACCTCACGAAGAAAAAAATTGGACTCAAGTCTGTCTCCCAACCCCCAGCCCACTCACCGGCTTTCCTACGAGAGCTGGCCCTGCGAACCCCAGAGCCTCTGGATGAAGACGAGGAGCTGGACGCAGACCTGGAGGACGCTAACAGCTGGCTGGTCCATCCCTGAGGGCTGTTTGATGAACAGTGGATGAAGCCAAAAAAAAAAAGCTGATGTGCTTGAATTGGCTGGAGATAGCTGGAGGCAGCCTGAGGGCAAAAGGGGATTGTTCCCCAATTTTCAGCATTCCTAAGAAAAGTGAGGTTTGTTTAGGGGTGTGTGGATCCTGAAGCTCATGTTTTTTCGGGCTCTGTTGTCCGTCTTCAATCGACTCCTATCATGACAGGCACAGCACTGACGACTATAGAGTTGAGTAATCGGGAAGGAGAAAATGCTTTATTTAAAAACGTGACCAAGGACAGTGGGAAATACTGTTTAGCTCAAGTTTTGTTTTAATTTGAGCTTGTTTTTGGGTTTGTTTTATGTTAAATATAACAAAATAAAACATCATTGCTGTAATCTCCAGGAGAGATTAGCGCAAGATGTGGATAGTTACATGTGTTGGGAAATATTCTAAAAGGTTGATCATTGGGGCGTTTACTGTAGGAGAGGACTTAGCCGAAAGACAGAAGTTCATACTTTATGAAAGGGATAATGTCGTAAAAGCTGGAATGGGAAATGGTATCCACAAATAAAAAGTACCAAAACCCTTTTTGTATATTAGCTGTCTATGACTGTTCCAAGTGTCAAACCCCACTAAGAGTTCCAGTAACTGGTGCACAGCTGGTGGAGTTGTGGCATAAGCAAGTCAGTTGTGATAGTATTGGTTTATAACATTTGTTAAAAGTATATTGTTAGGTATAAATGAGGGTTAGATTGTAAGCACTCAATTATGAATTCAAAGAATTCCAACTGTGTGTGCATGAATGATTGAGTTTGACCAAACCAGTAGTGTATTTTAGCATGGACTTATTATTTGAGGCAGGTCATTTGTTGAGAGTGAAACACGAAAATAAATTTATGGAACGTAGTTTGTTTTATCCAAAGTTAAAAAATATTGAGCTTGCCAAATACTAGTGTTTCCACTGCAATGCATTCCAAAACTTTATGAATATACTGCATTTTTTTTCTGAGGTGACTTTTCATGAAATTCTGAAGCAAAATTAGGGATTTGGTCACAAAACTGGATTCTAATTTTCATTCCAAATAGGATTATGTTTCTGTTTGAGGGTGTGTTTTCCCATTCAAAATATTACCATAAAAGCGTGTGAAGTGTTACCATTGCCAGCTAACACTAATTTCTTATAGCTTATATGTCACCTACGTAGTACATTCTACCATCCTAATCTCTATTGTCTGTACCTTTTCTTTGTCCTGGTTCGTGTTCGGTGTTTCATTTTTTGCCAGTTTAATTTATTATTTTGTATTCGTTTGCATTCCAGATAAGATTCTCAGGAAGGAAAAAAAAGATGTTTAATAACTTGATCATTTGTGTTTTTGGTTTCTGGTGGCTATTGAAACTATTCTTGGTATTTTAAGGTTGTCTCAAATGGGTTTATATCAACAGCTGAAACTTGTTAACAACAACTAATGCAGTCCATTATTTTAAAGTCTTCAGAATAAATGTCCTCTAACCATTGCAGCTATTGTCTCCGTTTTACTTATTTTTATGAGGAAGTTTGTGGTAGCCTCTTCAGCCCATCAAAAATGCTGCACTAAAATCTCCCATGCTGCTACACACACGTCAGATTGACAGGCAGCTACTAACGGAGCAGCCTCCAGGCTCCATGGTCCATCATTCTGCTCACATGTGTAGCTCTCTCTTCCCTGCAGAAGCCTGTCCATCACTGCACCCAACTTTGACTCATCTTCCTTCTGGCTTCCCAGTTGTGAAATAACTTCCCTACTGCACACAGGACAACACGGTCTATCCTCTGATATGAAAACAAAGTATTACTTTTATGCTGTTTTATCCACTTCCACCCGTCTTCCTACTTTATTTGCGGTTGATCTTGGTCCTGTAGTTTCAAAATGTATACATAATGCAAGACTCTGTGGTTTTTGGATGATATGTGTGTTGATTGTTAGATCTGTTGCCTTGGTATAGTTGGCTCCATCCCTCAATTCCTTGCTGTTGACAACCTAGGAATGACACCTTATCTAATCGGGCCACTGTCACTTACGCTGACTGAAAGCAACAAGATGCATGATGTGTAAAATACATCGCCAACAAAAGTATTCTAGTAGGCTTGCTAAAATAAAAAAAGCTAAATAATTCTAGGTGCAATGGTGCAACAGTTTATTCTTCAAAATAGAAATAATTGGCATTTGGCCTCACAAGTGAAGAAGTACAGGGTTGGGTGTGAGTGTGTATGTGTGTATGTACTGTGTAGTTATGCCTACGTGCCGGCTACAGCCAAAGCTCTAGCCATTAGCCATTATTTTTTCCGACCGTCCATCCATTCCTCCATCTCTCCATTCCTCCATCTCTCCATTCCGCCATCCGTCCGTCCCATGCCCGGGACGGGGATATGACATAGATTTTGGTAGTTAAAGGTTACTATGACTTTTTTCTCGATGCTATAATATGACTTTTTGTCGAAAAACCATACTATGACTTTTTGTATACTATGACTCTTTTGAATATACAATACAATTACTTTTTTAAGGACTTTTTTTGTACATACTATCATATAACTTTGCACACTATACTATGACTATTTAATAAAAAATGTTGACACTATACTAGGACTTTTTACGCTATGCTGTAATATGACTTTTTGTGCCTTCTTTTGGAAACAATATACTATAACTTTTTTTTAATGTTTTTTTTCGACGTACTATATTATGACTTTTATCTCTCTGCCATAATATTACCTTTTGTCGAAACACTGTACTGTGACTTTTTTCGACGTGCTATACTATTATGACTTTTTTATGACTTTTTTCGACATGCTATATATACTATAAATATTATATTCGACATACTATTCTAAGTTTTTGGACTTTTTTAAGACTTTTCGACAGTATACCATGACTTTATTTCGACATGCTATAGTATGACTTCTTTGGAAATATTATAATATGATTTTTTTAAACTTTTTTTATTTTTTCAACGTACTATAATGTGACTTTTTTATGACTTTTTTCGACATGCTATACTATGACTTTTCTTCGACGTATGATAACATTACTTTTTTACGACCTTTTTTGACATGTTATACTATGACGTTTTTCGACACAATATACTTTGACTTTTTTCGACATTCTATTCTATGACTTTTTTATAACTTTAAAAAATTTTTTTTGTATAAAAGTATAAAAACAACCCGGCTGTTAGGGTTCAAGTGAAGGGCATAACTTAAGTTTTTCTGTGCACACACATACACTGTATGCTGGGTGTGCAGCTGCAGAATTTTCTACTCCGAAGTTGAACACAGAGAGCTTGTTCATGTGCTGGGTGTTGCAGAGGTGGGGGCAGCGTGGACCTCCTCGTCAAATAGGAAGCTGTTGGTGTCGGCGGGCTGTTCCCAGATCTGCTCTGTATTCCTAGTATGACAAAAATAGATATCCCAGTTTTCCAGCACCATGTTGAACCAACCTTTGACAGACAGAGAGAAGAAGGAGTTGTAGAAGAAGAGCTTTTAACGAGCAAAAGAACTTGTAAAATAAGGTTGTCCTCAGTATCCCTTTAGAACTACAGTTGTTACAACATATACATAGGAAAAAGACAGAATGTAAAAGGGTATAGTGTAGTAAAGAAGAGTGTTAGCTATTTAATTTATTTGTCCATAATGAAATAAAACAAAGAAAATATTAGTACAAAAAAGATCATACTGCTGATTCTAAAAATAAAACTGAGCACTTTTATTACCTGGTGATCACATGGCATCACTGTTGGGATATCCATTGAATTTCATTTTTTTTCCCCTTCATATTAAAGCACCACACTGGTTTGATACGACAAACATGCTAGTAGTATACTACAATATGCAAAGCACACTGTTGTGGTTTCTTCCTGTCTTTGGTCCAAACATCAGGAGATCCCTTCTTGACCCTTGAACATTCTGTAATGTAATATTACTCTATTTACATTTCAGCACCTAAACAGAATAAGCATGTATAAAACTATAACACTAACTATTGTAGTTACTAACACACACTCACGCACACACACACACACTCACATTACATAACAAAGTTAAAGCTAAGCTATGGCATCTTTAACAAGATGGAATTGAGGATACTGTCAAACTGAGTGTAAAAGTAAAATGTAAAAAGGGTTAATTCACATTGTTATCCAAAGCTAGATGCCCTGAGATAAAAAAAAAAAAAAAGAGTTGATCATAAACACGTGACTTTAAAATGGAATTTTTTTAATTTAAACTAAAATAAAACATATTGTTTGGATCATGGAAATTAGATGTTGTGTATTGTGTGTTTAGAATAGCATTGAATCTGTATGTTTTAATATTATAAGTGAGAGGTTACTAAGTTACAGGGTGTCACGACCTGGCTCCGACAGCCATGACCCAATCATGGAGACGCAGACAGTTTGCCAAACAGCACAGAGTTTATTAAACATAACCAATAGGTCCAACGTCAAATGGCGGCTGGAACGAGCCGTTCTCGTTCCTCCACGGGGTGATGGGAGAGACGCCCCAGGTTGCCAGGAAGGCGGAGCCTTATAGGGGAAGCGCACCGGGCCCAGGTGCCTCCACTTAGGCGATCACCACCTCTGATACCTGCTGTCTTAAAGGAACATACATAAGTAACCCAGATAGGGAACCGTCACACAGGGCATATACTAATGCTCACTTCCTCTTAAAAAAAATGCTAATTTCAGCTTAGTACAGCTTTGGTCATATTTTTGCAGTTCCAGCTATCTGTCCGATCAACAATGTTGTATTCGTAAAGTTAATCGATGAGAAAAACAGGCCAGCTGAGAAAACAAAAGCAAACATTAAAATCATCATACAAACCATTCATACATATCCATCACATTTTCTGGTTGAACTTTGACCTACAGAAAGCAGATTGGATGATTTGTTCACAACTTGTCTCATTGCCTAACTGTTGGTGATTTCTTGTCACAGTACTCCCAGATCCCATCAGTTATTAAGTTGTCATAACTAATAGAAATCATGGGCAAAACTACATAACTAAGACTGAAGTTGTCATGAATAGAAACCATCCATTAATATCCTTCATGTTTCTTTGGTCTTGGACACACACATACACCACACGTGATTTTTTTTGTCATCAAATTCACGGACTGCTGTGATTACACTGTCTGTGACAGATTGTTATATAACTATGATCTGTATGCATGCAGAAGGGTTTGCGTAATGGCTCAGGATCTTAAAAGTGCTTCTGTTTGTCTCTTTGCAGAAATAAATACCCACAAAAACATCATTTCATAATCAAGCTTTTTTTCTTTCCGACAATCCAATAAATCATGTTGATGTTAATATTTCAGCTTTTGTGCGTCAGTCTCTTGGGACTTTTAACAGTTCTATCTAACTCAGGCCTTGGTTTCCTGGTGGTTCATCTCCAACCCCTCTTCAGCTTCTTTATTGCCCAGGGTCGAGTCCTTCTTGCTGGGCTGGCATCCCAGAGCTTCAGCCTCTTCCAAAGTGGTTGTTAGAGGTTTGCCCAGGGTCTCAGGCAACAACAATGTCAGCACTCCGATAATGAATGCCAGGATCCCCACGATGAGCTACACAGGGGTAGTGATGAGTAAAGGAAAAATAGAATGCATTAAAATTTGTTTCGAAGCCAAGATACCATTGTGGATAACTATGGCAAATGGGAACATGGTGCAAATATGACAGAATGGACAAGGAAAACTTTAAATAATATCTGTTGTTTTAAGAGAACCAAAAGAGAAAATGTATACCTGTGGTAGGTAGACCCAGACATCAGCCAGGTACACGCAGAAGGGTGCCACCACACTGCCAACACGGCACATCATACTTCCACTCCCCACTGCAAGAGACCTGGAGGGAGATCATACCCAAAGTAAGCAACAACAGAGAGAACAGACTCAGTGATGTCAATGTACAGTCATGCGCCTACCACCACCACCACCAATATAAACAAGAATCAATTACAGAGAAGCAACATTACTTGTAAAGTGTACCATATATGCAGCTGCATAAACCTGTCCATGTATAATTCAAACTATGTTTCCCATTTCTTGACTTTTCTATGTTTCTGACATGAAAAGACACTGAACTAGCAACTTAAATGTCTCCATAATGATATTCTGTGGAAAGGGGTAAATCTACAAAAACATACAATGTTAAAGAGAGTGACACTCTTCCTTCTTTGATCACTTATCATTCATTAGACTGTTAGTACTCTCACACAGTTGTAGACTATGATTTAGAAGGGGCCTCCCTGATAAACGGGAGAAACATTTATATGCAAAGACATCTCTAAAGAGACAAATCTCTTACCTGATGATGGTTGGGTAAAGCTCACAGGTGTACAGGTAGATGAGCCCAAAGGCAATCGCGATGGCAAACTTCCCTGTCATAGAGAGAACAATGACCAGTGCATTGATGTCCTATGGAAAGAAGTCAGTTGGACAGTGAGAGGCAAGAACTTCCCATGTTTATCCCATGTTTCATAGTAAAGTAACCAGAAACATTGGTTTGCTCTTTGGTGAAGCATTCACTGTAAAAACCTATAAATTAAATTCATCGGACCACTGACTCCACTAAACGTCAAGCTTTAAACAAGAGCACTGACTCTCTCACAGCACTCTATGAACTTAAGTTCATGCCGACTTGATTCTATTTCATCACATTTTCTTGTAAGTGAATTAACAAACTGAAAAATTACTATTTCTTCAGTCACTTTAGATTTACTTCATTATTACACTTTGTAGCATTGGAACAAAAGGGAAAGAAAGAAAGAAACCATGAAGAAAACGACAACACTGGAGTGACAGTGTTGCATATTTGTACATGTATGTATTTCATATGTGTTTATAAATAGTTCACAGTTTTTGTGTGTGTGTGCGTGTGTTTCAGTGTGTGTGTGTGTGTGAGTGATGTTTTTGGAAAGTGAAATGTTATCTAAAAAGCTCCAGCGCTTCTCTCACAAACACCTGGAGAACTATGAGTCAGTTTGTTGCTATGATGCAACAGCTACAGACAACAACACCTGCCTTCTTCAAAAAGGAGGAGGCAGTGTGAGCCGATCCAGTCCAAAGAAGCTTTTTCTGAATTGTTGGTCTGAATCCAACAATCTTTATTTTTGTCTGTTTGTGTTTATCATTTTGTTTTTCTCATTCAATAATTAACTTATCTAACATCTCTGTGAAGCAGTTGGTGCTACGGCATGTCTGGCAGGGTACTAGTATGCAACATACTGTATGTAGCCACTTGTGGGCTGCTTGCATGGACACAGCCTCCTCTATTCAAAAGCAAGAGCACTCAGAGTAGCCAGTAGTAAAAAGGGAGACTGTTACCAGTACTTCCTGAGACAGAAGGAGGTTTCGACTGCAAAGATTGCATTACAAATCTTCAGAAACATATGAAGAAACTTGCTCAACAAGTAGGTATAAAAACTCAAGCCCGGAACATGGTACTATGGTACGTTTGCCAAGGTAAGGTCCATTTGTCCACGTAGTTTACCAAAGGAAGTTACATACACTCTGTTATGTGAGAGTGAATGTTAGCCTGCACGTATTTCATTAAGTCGTGTCTTATTGCAGAAGTTACAGTGACACAAACAGAGAGAGTAGAAAGAAAAAAAGATATAACTCTGTCTCCATGCTGCTATTTTGCAGCTCAGGCTTGTCGACCGCTCTGTTCAGAATGGCTTTCAATGTCAAAGGTCATATTTACTTGGACATTACACAGCAGCTGTTTGCCACCCCAACCATAAGCAGTACTAATTTGGGTCAGAGCTCAGAACACACATACTGGGAAATGCGTGGGTCATATATCAGAATTCAAAAGTTAACAGTGGTCTAACGAGCCAGCTAACGACACAGACAGAAAGTTTGGAACAAAACTCTTGTTGCTGATTTTCATCATGGGGCCACTAAGAACATGCTGGAGCCAGTAGTTTTACAACCCTAAAGAAATAGCATTGATGTTGCATCTAAGTATGTAACAACATAAATTATAAGAATAACACTTACATTTTTTACACACACACACTGTCTTTTTCTCTCTCTCTCTCTCTCTCTCTCTCTCTCTCTCTCTCTCTCTCTCTCTCTCTCACACACACACACACACACACACACACACACACTCTCAGTACGTACAGCAGGAACCACAATGATGAGCATACAAGCGACCCCGGCCAGGAGCAGAGCTGGGGCACAGGTCTTCTTCCGGCCAATCCGGTCCATTGCATAACAGCCAACCAGATAAGAGGGAAGCTCCACTGCACCTGGAAACAGCCAATTACAGCAACTGTCGGTCAGAGGTTATCGTGGGACTGATACACTGACACGAGACATTCTATCTCGGGGACCTAAATAACCTGCATCTGCAATGATGGTGAAGCTCTGCCTTCCAAATGTTCTCCATAGTAAGTCCCCAAATTACATAAATGAGGATAATAATATATATTTCTAATGGGCATTAAAGAAAGCACATTAAATCAGTGGTGTCTGTCTAGTATAAAGAGGAAAAAAGACTAATGTAAATACTGCATATGACCCACTGAATTTAAAAAATAAAGTTCCCGGACATAACTAGTGGTAAATAGTATTCAAGAAACCAAAAAAGCATTTATAACAGTACAAATCTTAATTTCTTTATCAGATAAAAAAACAGGAAAACTAATAACTGATGGAGAGCTGATGTTTTAATTACTCAGAGGTAAACAAAGCCAAACTTGAGAACAGAAATGATCTCACTGGCCACATGTGCAGCGCAAACAGACTGTCGAGTTAAAGCTGAGATTTGGTAAACAGACACAAACACACTTTGCATTTAAAACCCACATGTTGTAAAGTAGTACAACTGTTTCTCTACAAACACAAATATTCCTAGAATTGGATGACCAAAAGCAGGATGTTGTTGTACAGTATCATACCACTATTTACCTCCTTTTTTCATGCACATTCACACTCATCAGACAATCACTTACCAGCAAGGAAGAGGTTAATGTACTGGTTTCCTCCCAGGTTGACTGAGCCCAAAGAGAAGACATAGTAGCCCAGACTGCCGATGAACCAGATGGCCCACACTGTACATGTACGGCCAGCCATCCTCCAGGTGCTGAAAAGATCCAGAATGGACAGCTTCTTTTCGTGCTGTGATGGTCGCTCCTCTGCTTCATCCAGCAGAGCTCTGCCGTTCTCTCTTTCCTCTGGCTCCAGGAGTTCCTGCACCTTCAGCTTGCATTCAAGGCCGTTGAAGTGGGCTATTGCGTCCACCAGGGTCTGAGCATCCTTGTAACGGCCCTTGGCCATCAAATAAAAGGCCGTCTCTGGGAACTTCCAGCAGACGAGTAGGAAGGGCGATGTGCATGTGGAGAGGATGAACTGGTAGATCCACCAGACCCGCACCAGGTAACCTGTCAGAGCCACCACCATGATCCCAACAGCAAAGGCTGCATGCACGTGCATAGAGGTCCATGTGCGTACTTTGATGCCAGTGAATTCCGTGACGTAGACAAACACCACCACGAGGTAGCCACTGGACACCTGCCAAAAGCAGAGATGGGAAGGAGGAAAGGACGGACACGGATAAGAGGAAGAAAAGTGAAGGAGGATTGAAAGATAAAATGAGGAAAAGAGTCAGAGAGAGAAAGAGATGAAGTCGTATTTAAAGATGAAAAGGGGGAGGAACACAAACTTATAATATGCATGCTTGCAACAGCATTAATTAGCCCTTAGTGTTCTTACCACATTGTTTGGTTGTAAAGTATTTAAGGACTTTAAATGATGCATGTCTTTTCTTTGGGCCACTTGTAACTTTTAAAGAGCAGCAGTCACTGTGGCCACAAGAAGCAACCACAGGATTAAGCTAAATGCTAAATGTAAGAGTAGCACAAGCAGCAAAGAATCCTAAAATCAGCAGCTAGTTGGCTAACATTAGCCAACTAGCTGCTCGTCCTACCAGACCGAGTCAGACTGAAGCAAAGCCAAGAACTGATCAAGGGTGAATTCATGACTTATAAATTAAAGTCTTCATACAAAATAAACTATATGTTGTTTGTCATTTAAAAGTGACATATTCTTGCTTTGAAATGGACATTATTGCTTGCTCCAGATGTTCATGCAGTTTACTGGATCAACTCTTCCATTTGCATGCACATACACAGAAAGATTTTTTAAAGATTTTTTTTTATTCTCTGTGTAATACGTATGGCAGTAATTAGGTGTTAACTCCCTGTAGTACGAGCCTTCGCTATCTGAGTCTATGTAAAAAACAACAGCTGTAGCTGAGGGGGGTTGGTAGAGAGGAGTGCAACAGTGGACAAACTGTGAGGGTTCTTTCAGCACAGCTCACTGCCATGTGGACTAACCCTAACTTAGTGACTCCCTTCCCTTGCCTTGTAAACATGCTGTTTTACGCACATGTTATTTATCACTCTGTACATAAACACACCAATGGGGATAAACAAACATACAAAGACACTTCTACTTTTCCTGCTCTACAGCTGTTTCCATTTTTCGGTATTTACATTTGTTTAATAGCTTGTAATCAGATGTAAATGCATATGCCATATTCATATAACATATATCTTTGATTAAATAGATAGACACCAACCTGTAATATCTCAAAAAAGTTTTTCTCGGTTATGAAAAATGTGAGCAAATGTGGTCTAATTTTGGATAATTTCTTGCATTTTCTTGCACTACTTTCTTTTGGTATGCCTGTTATATCGTTCCACATGAATTGATATGTCAATTGCACCAACCATGATTGTTCATCACATGAAAGAACACAGACCCACACGGATACACAACCGCATACAGTACATGCACACACTGAACTCACCATGGCAAGGAGGAAGCGAAGCACCAGAAAGATATAGTAGTTTCCAGAGAACGCTACAGACACCCCGAACCCAAACTGACAGAGGCTGGTGAACATCAGGATCTTCACACGACCAAATCTGGAGGAGAGAGACACACCCAAAGCAGGTAGCGAGACAAAGAGCAGGTGAAAGAGAGACAGACAGAGAGATAAAGTAACTGACTTAAGCAATTTGATTAAAAAAAAAATGCTGCATTTAACCCATCTCTAGCTTATTGGGAGCTGTGGGCTGCTGAGAAGCACCCAGGGAGCAGTGTCTTGCTCAGGGACATTTCGGCATAGGACTTGGAGCAGCCAAGGATTGAATCGCCAACCTTGCGGCTGCCGGAAGACCCTCCCTACCCATTGAGCCACGGCCGCCTCATATCAAAAATCACATCATAAAGATCATAAAAGATTATTTAATTGTCAAAGTTGTGTTGTGCTTTCAGTTGCAGCAGTCCATCAAACCGTTGTAATCAAGGTATTATTAGACCAACATTATGTTGATGGCATACAATATATTACATATTTTAATAAAGTTGCAGACAAAAAAAGAACGCAATTTGTTTAAGCCACTGTGGTTCTGCTTTAAGACGTTAGCTGTGATGCAGCTACATAAAAATGGGGTGGCACTTTGCCTTATACATAGAGGAGATTCTCCAGCACCTCTTTGCCTGCTCAATATAACTTACAGCCAGCGAAACTTGACCTCACAGTGTGATCAAGTGCCAGTGGGATCATCAGGATCAATATTTTTACAATGCTCAGCCCAAAAAGGAATTCAACCATTAGCCATGGTGGATGATTGGATAAGACCTAAACACAAGACCAGATACAGTGAGGTGTGATGATGATTTCCTCATCCATAATGACCACTGTTATTAAATGACCACATTTAATCCTTACTTCACCAGATGATTGGAAGACATCAAAGCAAGTGTACACTTGACCTACTTTATTAGACAAAAGTCCTACTTCTAAATGCAAACTACTTCAGTTATGGGAGAACTGTTTGGCTGGGTCACTTGATTCGTCAAAAAGCATCCCGGGACACCATTTCTTTCCCTGGCCCTCTCATCTCTTCTTCTTTCCATCCTCATTCACACCAACCATCCACTTTTCCTGCCTGAAGGTCACTCTGATCCTCTCTCTCTCATATGCTTCATGCCCCAATGCTTAGTAGGCAACTCATTCATGTGCTCGCATAACAACCACTGAGCATTAGAGACAACAGTATCATGTTTAATGTTGAGGCAGAAGTGCATCGATGTCTATCGAAGTTCTGACTACATGTGTAAAGGTTTATAAAGGCAGGCTCTCTACTACACTTATTTCCATGCATAGATAAAAATAACTTCCTTATATGGTGAAACACAATGTGTCTTACATATACTTTACCTCCCCAGTGTGACTTCTCATTTTGCAATAAAGTACCCACCCCTCCTCCATCCTGCAGCCCCTGCTTACCTGTCAGCAAGGTCCCCAAACAATAGCGCTCCGACTAGTACCCCCATCATGAAGGTGGGTTGGCACAGCTTGGCCAGCCACTCTTTGTCACACACCAAGTCCCAGTCCGTCACGATGCTTTGGTGAACTTCAGTGTGGTCGTAAACAAAGTTCCCATCGCAGGCTTTCACTGTTTTGTTGCCATCAAAGTCGTACGTAAAGTATTTTGGGTTGATGCGAAGGGCGCAGCGGCACCGGCTGAGCTCCCACTGTTCACCTTCAGTGGTCCTCACCACCAAGGGCCCAGTCTCCGACGTGAAGACTGGAAGGATGTCTTCCAGGCTAGATCCCGTCAGGTTACCGTACAGGACATCGGTGATGTTGCCAGGCACACTGCACGCAAAGTTTGGCGTCTGCACTAAGAAGACAGAGGCCAGGTAGTGGATCCCACAGGCTATGGCCTGGAAGACCGCGGCAAAGTACAGACATGCCTGGAATCTTAAAAGAAAGAAAATGCTTTAAAATATATGCTGAAACCACAGCTGAAGAGGAGATGATGAGCGATTTGACAGCAATCAAACAGGTCTCCTTTTTAAAAAGGTCACCAAACAACTCATTGTACACATCCATATAAAGCTCTGCCCAGTTGCATATAATAAATACAGGGATTAGTTCAAAACAAGTGAACATCATAAACTGCTTTGGATGTGATACAAATGTTGTGACAAGTTGGACTGTGGACAAGTGAAAGGATCTCACCCTTGACCTTCACATACAGGCTAACGAAAATGTTCTTGTCTTCAAATGAAAGTTGCTCTTTTTAGCTATAAAAAAGTGTTTGAAAAACTACAATGGTGGTGGGAACAAATACATTTTGTTATACAAAAAGAAAAATGCACAAAAACAAAAACAAGTTAATTCGACATGTGCTCTGTGAGCAAACCTGTTTAATAAATAAGTTAAATTAATTCAGCAATTCCATTTACTTTAAGGGAGAAACTGGAAAACGTGGTAAATAGTAACTGGCATGCTAAACTTTCCATTTTTCCATTTTTTTTATCTCACTTAATCATGTAATTCAAAAATGAACAATTACTTAAGTTATTTTACAAAAATACACACACAAGTGAACACACAAGTTCCCCTGAGGTGAAAACTCAGTCATTGCTAAGCATTCAGATATGGTAGAAAACAAATAATAAAAGAATCCAAAAGCATTCTGCACAAGTAAGGAAATGTAAAAGAGATGGTATCTGTTTGAATAAGCCTGTTAGCTCAGTGTTCGTTTTCAAAAACGCGTTTGTATCATGGAATAAAAGTTGAGAAGTTACTATTCCAAAGCTTCCCAAATGGCTGTTGACGATAACAACAAACACCCGAATTAATTCACAAAACAAAGGATATGTGACAGTTTAGTAAGTTTAAATTAAGTACCTTTTGAAATGTCCGATCTCGTCGAATATTCTCTCTACGGTCATTTTCCTAAAGAAGTGTCTGTGCGTCGAGGGTCCCCGGCGCAAAGTGTTGCTTTCACGGAGCGGACGGAGAAGAGGAGGGGCGCGCGGCCACACACGCGCACAAACTTGCAACCGCTCAATCAACGGGGGGAAACTCTCCGTTATTGCTGGAGATGATGATGATGTTTTGGACCATCACGGAGACCAATGCTATAAAAAAAACAAGCAATGTACTGTATTCAAAAGTTGTGTTTTGAAATTTCTGTTAATTTCAAGTGAAGTAAGGTTATTCTGGCCAACGTATTCTTTGACCGCACTGACCCTTCTAGTCAATCTCATACAATGAAGCAAGAGCACAGTGTTTTCTAGGAAGCCAGATTATGAATGAATACAGCACATTTAAAGTCACTGTGGAGTTTTTCTGACCTAATCACAGCCTTTAAAACTCTGACACCAAGAGGTCTGAAAGAATATATTTTGATTAAGATTTCTATATATGATATAGCTTCTTGTTGACATTGACATACATCTAAATAAATGTGGGGCTGAGAGCAAACTCCTTCTGCTTTCAAAAATACTGCCCATTATTTTCTTGATGAGGCGAATAATTGGTCTGTGAAACGTCCGAAAATAGAGATGCCCTCTGTGTGCATGTCAGTGTGCATTTGAATCTTTGCAAGTGTGCTACATTTGTGTTTAGTTTTAATGAACTCCCCAGTTAAGTGCCACCGTTTGCATCACGTTTTTGATATGATCCCAGCCCACTCACACTTCTATGCACCAGATATTAGACAAATCAAAAAACACAGGCTAATTCCTGACACAAAGACCCCTTGTGAACTCCAGGGCAACCTCTCTTGTATCTGCAAGGGTTCCCTTTGAAGCCTTTGATTAATGATTGATATGTGCAGTAGTTGTGGCTGTATTGACTTAATGCGCTTTCCCTTGACTGGATTCAGCAGGACTACAAACTGCGACAGTGTTTGCTTTTGCCATCGTGCCGACTCGACATCTGCTCCACTTCCTCGAATGGGAAATAGTCAAACAGTAGAGGTGTAATTGAAATAGGTAATTAATAGACTGACAATTTATAATCAGTGTGCAAGTTTAGAATTAACAATCGGTCTTCTTTTCAATACCTGGTTTGATTAGCAGCCTTTTCTGGCCAAAGGTTGGATGCCACTGGAAGTTTATTGGGTTTAATGGAGATAAAAATAGATTCATCTATGGCACAAACAGACATTGTTGCCATAAATCAGACAACGCAAGCTATTGTCTGGTGTTAGACACTACAAACTGTAAAATCATATTCGTTTTTCATAATTGTACAGCTTACTATACATGTTATAGCTATATGCTAAATATAATATATGGGCTGTACCGGGTACCTCCCATATGAGAAGGTAATATCATCACCATCCTGGTGATGATATTACCTTGTGTGTGTGTGTGTGTGTGTGTGTGTGCGTGTGTGTGAGTGTAGTAGTATTTTGGGCACCAAGCAGCTGAAAGCAAACACTCTTAATGTGCACCTGCTCCTGTTACAACTGGCTGCTTCCCACTGAGCAATCCATGTCCATCCAATCCATATGTGATCTCCAATCAGAAAATATATATATTTTACTCAGCAGATTAACCTATTTCAGTCCTGTTCAATCTAGTTTTACTTGGTGTGCTGGGAAACCTGTATGCACTACAGTACATATCAGAGGCCCTGCTGTTTGTTTGCAAGATTGCATCAGGTAAAACCCACCTGCAAGTAGCCGGCACACTTTATCTTGAAATTCTAAACCTAAAAAGGAAGTTTCGAACTGTAAAGCTCACCTCGCATTTTTATATAGCCTTTAGCTTTTAATCACACATTCACACTAATTATGTGAGCCAATTCTTGTCCTTAGCCTCTAACACCTTTTTTTTTGCACCAAGTACAGGTATCAACAGCTGATCTATCTATCTGGTTATCAATATAAGTCTACCTAATATGCCACTGGGCATTTGACTGAATGATTTGAGCCATATTGACATTGCAAAGATTTTTCTGCCAATCTAATCAATATGTTTTGTCATCAAAATCAAACAGTACTTAAAGTTATTTGGTCAATGTGTCGATTTAAAAGTGTGCCTCTGCCGGACCTCTGTTTGATCTTTGCGCTGGCTTCTGTGCATGGTTGAACAAAGAGGAGCCAGTGTATCAAGTTAACATAAATATCAATTACCATTTGACCTACATCACTTCAGGCATTTACAGACTCACATTGTTTTGTAATGCATCCCATATGGAGGTGATGAGTGTAAATGACTAACCATTGGGTGGCAGTAGAGATTGTCCTGCTATCGTCCTGCTTTGAGTTCCCAGAACTGACAGCTCTAAATAGACTTGATAGTCTTGAATTAAAACACTAGGTGTAATTTTGGGTGATTTATACTCTATACAAACTGTTTTAATCCCGGAAAAACATATACTGTATATTTATTTCAATTATTTAAAAGGAATTCCTACACTTTTCAAAAGCAAAGTTACAAGGAAAACAAAAATCAGTCGACTAATTGGCATGTTGCTGCAGTTAATCTATTAAAACCAGGAGCACCAGTCATGTTTAGCCTTTATTTGAAACCTGGTACACGTTACTTGTATGCATACAAACGAAGCAAAGCCAAAAAATGTGAAAGCATGCTGTATATCCTTTAGAATGTGTTTCACCTTGTCACTGCGTCACAAATATATCTTTCGAGGTGTTCGTATGGTCCCCAAACCAAATTGATTGTGAAACTGATCAGAAAATACCAGTTCAATGCGTATCATTATGCTTGCATTATTAGAGAGGCAGGGGAAGTATCATTTCAACCCCAAAGAGGGCAGTGGAGAGCTAATTATAAGTCAATGTCCAATCGCAAAATATTACCATTGAGTCTGAAAAGCAGAAAGAAGGCTGACATATTATTATCCTGTATTGGTTTTCTTAGATTTTAGCCATGTTAGGATGCTCTGTAGCCAGGCAAATCCACCTTCGTGAGCGGTGCTTTTCTTCATCCAAAATGAATCCATTTGGAAGGCCACATAAATTACATGTAGAACACATTATCAATAACATATTTAATAAACAGGCTGCACAAGAAGGATTGCTGATTATTAATTGCTAATAAATAATGGATGAGTTAGTGATCGTTGGAGGGGAATAAATGACAAAGTAGTAGAGGCAACTTGAGAAGACGATGAGGCCCAGTGTTGGCTTACACATTCTCTTTTGGAGAATTACTGCCAAGGAAAATAAAACACCGAAGTTAGTTTCAGTAAGTTGCCAGAGATTATAAGAACTAACTGATTAGTGTTAGTAACAGGAGAAGTAATACAGGAATGCATACAGTACTGGAGGTAACACCTATAAGCTATAGGAGTAATGATTAAATATGTTTTATTTAGTATGGTGAATGAGAACTGCTAACAGCAAAAATGTAAACATTGATCAGAAGATGATCCTTGAAATAATAATAATATTATTTTTCATATCTAATTTTTATAAATTTTGCAGCTAAAAAAGAAAAGTATGCAAATCAAGGCTGAGCTGTTGGTGAGAGCGCCGACTTGTTTGCAGATGCAGAAAGGGACCTATACATGGGCCCGTGGTGCTGGCCCTGCCCATATCTAGAGTTACACAGTAACCCGAGAGTCTGTTGGGGCGGGAGAGGCAACCCGAGGGAGGGAGCAGAGCAATGTGTGTGTGATATGGGGCTGACAGAAAGAAAAAGAAAGCAATTAAAAGGGTGTGTGTGTGTTTGGGAAAAGGGGGACTTGAGAGCGTGAGGAGGGAGTTCCCAAAGTTTTCAAGAGGGCGGCACACATTGTACTTTTGAATCTCTTTGCCGAGCCTCATGATATACTCTGGTATGCACAAAATAATTCAGGTTCATTCATGTCGGCTCACACGTGGGCAGAGGTGTCCTTGATATGTGTGTGTTTCATTAACTTACTGGGTCTTATGGTGGACTTTAAACTTGAAGGGAAGGAGAGGCTGGATGAGAAGAGAAGAGAAGAAAAGAGAAGAGAAGAAAAGGAAAGAACAACTCTTTGGCAAGAGGGAGAAGAAGGATGGGATAGAAACAGCAAAGGGAAAAACAGAACTTCTACTTGAGGAGATGGACTGAAGTGAGCCAGAGACACAGAAATGACAAAACAGTGGATGGACATGGGCAGAGAGCGTCTCACCCGGGGATTGCTGCTGCGTTTGGGTGTTCTGCTCACTGCTGTGTGTGTGTGCGTTCATGTTTACCTGGAGACAAGTTGGCGGGGAGCACCTACTCCCATGGGACATCCCACCCAGTCTAGTCAGAACTGGGGCCAACAAAGCAGAACCAAACTAGAAGCAGAGGAGCAGGACAGAAGCATTAAAAGGAGAATATCTTATGTTCGAACACTAAAGAAGGACAGCCAAGCTAGGAAGAGGGACGAAGACAGAGAGGAGCCCTCACCACCGTGCTGCGCACCTCTCCGCCCGCACAGAAAGGTATGTTCGATAACCCATCAACTGTTGAGTTCTTAATTGCTGCGATTAAGATTCTTGTAAGGTTATCTGATCCTAAATCAGTGCAGTAGAAGACAGAGCGGCTCACTAAAGGAGCTTTCACTCCGTCTCTGAGGCACTGGATTAAAGCTCAGTAATCCCAGGAGGGTGATGAAGGAAGAACAGGCAGCAGGATCAATGCATGTTCAATGAGCACTTCTGAAATGCTTCTCAACTGATGAAGTTGATACAGAGTTTGTCACTTGTTTTTTTTTTGATAGATGTATACAATTGCAAACAGGTGTGAGTTTGACCCAAAATACAACCAAGAAACCCTCCACGCCGGCTGTTTTGTATTAGTGGCAAATCCACACAGAGTCAAGTCTAACAAAGAGCCATTCAGATGCAATGCCTATTGGAGCAAACACAGCTATCCACACACACACACACAACACACTCCACTCTAAAGGGGCTTAACCCTCAACCTGTGAAGGGCGTGTTAAAGCACTGGCATAACAAAACACCCACTTTCTGTGTCTCTTCATGCCTTTTATTTTTTCTCTTTGATTTATCTCAGCTATGTGCTCTAACTTCTATTTTGTCATTTGATCTCTGCATCCATCCATCTCCCTTTTGTTCCCTTTCACTTCCATTTTCCATCAACCCTCCCACCACACACACACACACACACACACACACACACACACACACACACACAC